AGTTGTTTTTCTAGTGGAGGTGAACAGAGAAAGAGAACCCACTTTGCAGATAGCAGATTATAGCAAGCTGCAGTTCCAGAGGAAACACAGGTGTTTACCAATGTACTTAGTAAGTCGTCTCCGAGTGTACTGAAGTTCCTTCTATTCACAGGTGAAGGTGTGCATTTTTTCCCTTGCGAGGAAGATTAGTTATACAACTTCTTGTCCATGCCTTGGTTATTTTCAAGTGCCATTTATTACTGATTGATTTCCTCCCATTGCTTTTCTTTAAAAAGTCCAAGCTGCACTCAGACTCCTGGTGCGGACGTTTTGGGCAGTGGGTGGTTGATCACACTGACCATCTGTTTGGACCCCTGCTGGCTCATTGGCTTCAGGAACCATCCACAGTTGATGGGATCCAGAAAAGCTAGCCAGGGAGCATGGGCAGAGCCCTGGACTAGGAGTCATGCCTCAGTTTCCTTACTTTGAAATGTGAAATTAAGGGTAGAATGGGTCAACCCATTTTTTTGTTTGTTCGTGTTGAGTTCTGAACCACCTAGAAAATATTTTATCTTGCCATATTTGCATTCGGCTTTCATGAACACACGGATACTTATGCACGGATGCCCTGAGCCACCTTGATGCCTTGCCTTCCACGCCCAGATGTGCTCATTCCAATGCATAAGTAATGTCTAGAACTTTAGAGTTCACAAAGCCATTCCACATCCTCAGTGTTTCTGCTGGGCCTTGAATCAACAGTTACATGCTGTATCGTTCCCATTTTAGAGCTGTAAAGACTGAGACTCAAAAAACTCAAAAGAGGCTGAGTAATTTCCCTAAATTTGGGTGTCAGGTAAATGGAGAGCCAGGCCTGAGTCTGCATGCCCGTTGTGCACTGAGCTGCGTAGCCTTCCAACAGGGGCAGATTTGCTCCTTTCCCTTGTTTAATCATTGCTGTGGCTCCACAACCCTCACAACTCACAGCACTGACCATGGGCCCCCCCTGCAACCAGCAAGGATTTGAGGCTGAGAAGTAAGCTCTGATGGCAGAGTTAACTGCTTTTCAATCAACTAGTTCCCAATCCCATCAAAATAGAGGTAAAAACTAAGGATGGGGCCAGCCCTGTAGCACAGAGGTAACGTGGTGCTGAAGAGACGCCGGATCTCGCCAGGTCATGGCCATTCGAGTCTCTGGCCTGGTCAAGCTGAAGCATGCCAGGCACACACCTGTCAGGCTCCGACAGGCTGAGGTCGGGAGGAAATGGACTGCAGCATCCCCAGACCCTGTGGAGATCTCTCATCTCTTCTCTTTTCACTCTTTCTCACACGCACATTTTATCATGAATAAAGAAAGAAAATCGTTTTGTTTTGTTTTTAATTGCCAGAGGGCACATGTGCTCACCAGGAAGGGGAAGGGAGAGAGAAAGCACCCTCACCCCTCAATGAGACATGGTCTTGCCACGATCCCTTTTCTTCCATTTCTCTATCCTGTTGGGATTTGGGGCCTGCACACATATTTGTCTGGTGAGTTTTTTTAAGTCACCAGGGTCAGGATTTGAACCATTGTCAGCCACATGAAGTTCACTTTCCTTAATCACTAGGCTATGGAGCCAATCCAACAAAAAAAAATAGTTAAAAACAAAAAATTAAGGATGGACAAGTTTCGTCCTGACTGTAGTGGTTTCTTTCCTTTTACAAAATATTTATCACCAAGTATTTCAAGCATTCAGAAAAGCCCAGAATAAAGCAAGCCACCATGGACTTGCCAGTCAGAATGAATAAATATGAACGCTTGGCTCCATTTGCTTCCTGTTTCTCTTAAAGAAATAAAATACAACAGCTCCCATGAAATCGCCTCCATTCCCTTTCCTTGGCAGTGGTTTCCCCGTGACCATCCTTTGCCCTTTAAGGCTGGATTAGTCAAACATGAGGTATACATTACAATGGTTCACCTTGGTTGAAACAAGAAGTGCTTTTTAAAATTATTATTAAGGTAAAATATACATAGCATAACATTTGTCCTTTTAACCATTTTTCAGTGTAGGGCTCAGTGGCCTAAGTACATTCACATTTTTGTGTAATTATCACCACGATCCATTTCCAGAGGGCTTTTATCATCCCCTACTGCAGCTCTGTGCTGTGACAAAGTAACTCCCCATTCTCGCCTAGTCTCAGCCCCTGGCAACCCCCATTTTCCTTTCTGTCTCTATGGATTTGACGACTTCAGGTACCACATGTGAGTGGAATCATTCAGTATTTGTCCTTGAGCTGGGTTATGTCTCTGCATAGGGTCTTCGAGTTTTATCCATGTTGTAGCATGTGTCAGAATTTCATTTCTTTTTTTCTTTCTTTTTCGATGAGAGAATGTGGGAGGAGGAGGGAGAGAGAGATTTTTGGCAGGGCCTCACTGCTGCAATATTCTGCCCAACCCTCCCAGCTATAGCTAGAATTATAGGCACATAGTACTGCACTCAGCCCGTTTAAGTTGACCCAGGGCCCAAACCTAGAGTTCCAACCTTGTGCAGCGGCACCCTGCCACTTGTGTCACCATGGCTGGGCTTCATTTCTATTTTTAAAATACAATTATATATTTAATTTGGTTTGTTTGTTTATTTATTTACTTATTTTAGAGGTTTTTGCCTTAGGGTGGGTGCATGCACCCTAAGGCAAAAGCAAAAGAGAGAGACGGTGAAAGGGAAAGTGAGAAGTGACCCTCTGGGAGGATGGCCATGCCATAATCTCTTCTCTGGGAGGATGGCCATGTCATAATCTCTTCTGTGTTCTCTTTCTGGGATCTTGGGCATGCATGCAGATGCACCTGGTGGGTTTTCAAGCCACTGGTCCAGGACTCAAACCACAGTAGGCCATGTGGGAGTTCAGCGACATAACTGCTAGGCCATCTGCAGACTGCTATTTATTATTGTTATTTTAAATTTGCTATAGGGCACATGTGCTCACCGGAGAGAGACAGGAGTGAGCAGGCAGTGAGAAAGCAAGCTGCCAGGTCCAGGACTTGAACTGTAATTGTCCATGTGGGAGTCTAGCGCCTTAACCACCATGCCACCTATTGGCCCCAAGGCCTCATTCCTTTTAGGGCTGAAAAATATTTCCTTGGTTGTGCATTCTATAATCACTTATCCATCATCCACTGATAAATATGTGGGTTGTGTCTACCTTTGGCTACTGTGAATAACGCTGTTATGAATGCTGGTGTACAAATATTTGTTCAATTTCTTGCTCTCAATTCTTTGGAGTTTATGTCCAGAAGTGCAATCACTGAGTCATATGATTTTCTTGAGAAGTTGTTTTTTTGTTTGTTTGTTTGTTTGTTTGCTATAGGGTGCATGCGCTCGCCAGACAGA